ATCTCCAAACCTGACAAAGGTTCTAAATTTGTTACCATTGGTTAAGTCCGATTTCCTAAACTAAACGATGACACTATTAAATGATTGTTTTAAACTTCAGAAATCACCGACTAATACAGATTCAACAGAAAAGACTGAAAAACAGCTAATAGTCATTGAGTTGAAACAGGAAGGTTGCGTCTCACCAGTTTTGTACGAAACACTAAGGCATGTTGGTACATAGTCTGTCCTAGATTTGTAAAATCGGCTTGCCAATTAGACCAGTCCTCAATATGTCTATTTCACCTTATCATACCATAACTGAGAAATGGTAGGTGCAACTTCTACAGTCATTATACAAAGACCGTTTTGAGTTTGTGGAAAGAATTGGAGAATTAAAAGTGAAAATTAGTACATGATATTCACATGTGCCTTTGATAGAAACAGCAGATTATATATGTAATAAAATAATGAATGAAAGTACGGAGATTGGTATTCCTGTGTGTTCCCTGAAGAAACTTCTTTTCAGATGCACGGCGAACGTATATTTTCCCTCAATAAGGAGATGTATACGATGTCAAATGATGTTGCTATGATGTCACTACTGAGTCCAATCCTAGCGGACGTCTTCCTGAAGAAACTAGAGAATAGCCCTCTCAATGATGTGATAAATGATCTGGATTTCTATTGTTTTCAAATTGATGATGCACTTATAATCTGAATGGTATACAGTGAGACAAGGCACATATTGGAGATACTTAACAAAACCAGTAATAACTTTTACTAAAGAACAGAATGACTTTATCTTGTAGGTAAACGAGTAGATGAAACAATATGTAGAAGTTTACATTAGGAACCTAAATCAACTGGTCAGTATACTCACCCTCTGAGTTTCGTCTCCGTATAATACAAATGAAATCTGGTCAAATGTATTGTTCACTGTGACAGACTTCTTTGTTCAAATGAAACACGACGAAGAACTCATCAATACTCGTGATGTAGAGACGAATATCCGGTGGTATTTTTCAGTGAATACATACATTTGGCAAATAAAATGTCCAATGTGCCTGCAGTTACTAAAAAGCAGTGTTCCGAAGATTGCGATTTACAGGGAATTTTAACAGCAAGACAGTACTACGAAGCCTTAGAAGAGCCTTCAAAAAGACTTAACGCAGCAAAGTTATTCTGTTGACTCATCAGCCAATTAATATTTTGTTCACAAAATAAAGACAGACTTCCTTATTTCTCCTCTTCCATGTGTACTTACCAGTCTAACTGCTCCTGTGGAGTTAGTTGAACTGGACGTACGATTAGGCAATTTCAGCGTTGAATTTCTAAACGCTACTTATATTGGTTAGTTAACAGACTAAGTCAAGCTTTACTCAATACTAGCTTACCCCGCAGATACAGAACATCCGGTTGACACTAACAAAACTTTTAAAGTTATTTGTCGTATTTCACCCAACATTTTTCATCCTTCATGAGTACGACTTCCAAATAATCGCGATCCATCTGAACAAGCCATATCTATGTTTAAGAGAAATCTGTTCAACCCCACTCTTTCCCGTGGCCGTTTACATGATACATACAGAGTATTACAAATTATTTTCCTTATCTTTGTCACCTGACTTTGTTAATTTATGATGATAACTGTTCTAGCTAAGTCACTTGACTTATTTCTGTCTTAGTTATCCTACATCATACATTTATGTATTCTTCTTAGTCATCACTATTGTAAAAACTGTCGATTCTGTCTGAAAATTAACTCAGCTTGAATTCTTTACCACGAAAATTATACTTCTTTTTGACTCACAATCCGCTGCTAACTTCTACTAATTAATTGTCTCGATGATTTTTAACCAGTTGTTTTTACCCCTCCTATACTTTAGACCTAGCATAACCATATATATATATATTGAAAAGGAATATATTTCTTCGCTGAATATGTTGATTTTTCTAAATGTGTACATAGTATATTTATCATATGTATTTTATCCAATTCATTAGCTGAATAGAAACCTTATTGATATCCGGCAACTGGTTACTTCAGTAATCATGGGACGGTGAACAATAGGTGAAATCTTTAGTTAGGTATTTCTCATCGAAAATTAGTATCACCAGTGATAAAGCATAAGGTGACTAAATAATGCTAATCATTGAATGCCCTGATATGACCAAGAGTAAGTAAACTTGTTGCTGAAACGGTTTTATATCAAGAATGCCTTATTCTCTACCTTCACATAGAGAAAGGGTGAATGGAAGCGTGAAGTTTTCATCACCGAATCGATGAGAACAAATGGTTCATTTAAAGCAGTTACGAAACGATGATTCAAACTTACAGTACACAATCCGAATGGAAAACAAACCATTTTCGCCGGTGGTGAGCATAATGACACAGATTCTAACGTCGCTCTGCTGTATTGTAGGTCAGACTTCCAGTCAAAAGCTCGGTAAGGGACCGCTCAAGAGGCTTAAGCATCTAGGCAGTGTTTCCACTAACTTTGTGTCTGCTTCTTGGAAGGAGCTTAATATTTTTTCTATGCCTAACATCAAGTGTTAAGTTTTAGGCCTATTACTACCACTTCAAATTTTTAGAAATAATGGAAAAACTGTCTTTACTCAACTTTGAACCTTTGTTGAAGGTTTTTAACGACCCTGAACAATTTGCTTGTAAGCATAGGAAGTGTAGTTTAGATGTCACTGTGATCTTACACCATAATACTGTCTTTAGTTTAGACAAAGGTGACAAATATGTTTAGTATACCTTCCTTGATTGCACATCTACCTTTGACTCTGTACCTGGACCTCTTTTGTTAAACAAGCTCGCTGCGACACAAGTAGGGTCTTGGACTAACAGGAAGCAGTACACGGTATACACAATCGGAAGTCTTCCACTTCTTTGATTACTCTAGCTGGTGTTACTCAAGGTGCTGCTCTTTCTCCTTCTCTGTTTTCTTTCTCCTTACATGACTTGCGCCAGTTTGATGAAGCCAATTTTGTTAAGTATAGAGATGACCTGACTGTTTCTATGCCCATTACTTCTCAGTCAGATCGTTCCAAAGTGAATTGCCATGAATAAGTCAGATTACTTAAACTAAATAGTGATGCTATTAAATGATCGTCTTAAATTCCAGAAATCAACGATTAATAGAGATTCAACAGAAAAGACTGAAAAGTAGCTAACACAGTAATCAAGAAATTTGATTGATAATGGAATATTCAGTAGACTATTCGAAGAGAAAACTGAGACATGGCTGGCAATCACATTCCTGATTATAGTGAATTCGATCATACAACAGACCGTGGAGGAGGAGGAGAAGACGGGCAACGCTAAGCCAACAACAGGTCTCTAGAACATCCGGACTTCGTAGATGATCTATGTTTGACGTCGCACAAACTCGAAGATCTACGAGCAATAACCAACAATTTGGCAGAATAGGTAGCGAAGACAGGAATTCAAGTGAGTATGAAGAACATGAAGTGAAGATACTTAACTAATAACAACAAGGACCAATCATTATCAATGGGAAACACCTAAAGGCACTCCCGTCTTTCACTAACTTGGGCAGTATGTCGAAATCAGCCAGTTGTTCCGAAAAGCAAGACAGGTATCCATTGCTTTGAAATGTGTGGTGATCTGAATTTCCAACATCAATGTCAAGTCAGTGCCTTCATTTGGCTCAAGAACCCGGTGCACGTCACCAGAAGTATTTCCGACAGCCTTCTGTCAACTTTCATCAACACTTGTCTTCGTTGGCTCGATACTGAAGATGAGAACCCGACTGGCTGGGAAAGATAATCAAGATAATCCAGAAGTAAGTGGAGATGTAATGGGCATACAGTGAGATCGTCGAGTGAAGTCCGGATGGAAGGTGACGAGTTTTGGAGTATGCAAGAGTGAAATGGAGGAGGTCATGTAAAGAGGAAATTAAAGCTTGTCAGTATTCACAGAACAAGCTTAAAAAAACAGGAGAGAACAGAATGAAATGGTGGTGTGTATTCCACTCGGGAACTGAGGGAACAATAACAATTTGCTCCATAGACCACACCTTTTCATGAGTGACTGAGTACAGTGCTTGTATTAAAAACGTCAAATGCTGAGCCCCCTTCATAAATGAGCTAGTAGTACGCCTAAACTATGGCATTTGCCTGGTAAACTAATCGAGAGACGATTTGTGCTACAAACTCAGTGCTCAATCCACTGCCACTACCAGACCATGTAATTAATTACGTATTTTATCATCTGATATATACAACAATACTAGAAATATGTAAGGCTTACGAGCGCAGGACACAATTGTCCGTCGTTAGTTTAAGGTCCCTTTTCAGTGAGTACCCGGGCTTTATGCATAATTCCGTTCAAAAAAATCAGATTTTGCAGATGACACTTTATTTCTTAACAAACGTTGCTCTAGCTGAAATGTATCTCTACGACTGAAATAGCTATGAAATAATATAATTTCTCAACAACATGCTAATTAGTTGTGGAAATGTTCAGGAATGAAGTAAACACAATCAACTAAAGTATATGGTGTAAAAGAATTTTAATTTAATCAACAATGCATGTACAATAACAGAATGAAGGATGTGTGACAAAATTAACTAAAACGCAGAAACTCAAAATACCTTTTTTCTACAGAAACAATCAATACCGGTACTACAATAATTAACAAGAATAAAAGTTCTTCAAAATAATGGTGAAAATGACCAGAGATACTTGACATGAAAAAATATATATTTATAGCCTAATCTGAGGTATATATATATATATATATACGGTAGTAGAAATGCTTTTTGAAATATTTTATATTAGCCTACAACTAGTGAAGAAATCATGAAGCTTAAGAAAGTGCTTAAGCATTTATATCAAAAGACTACAGAAAAATAAACTAGAAAGATCAAGAAGTCCACTCTACACAAGTCATATTTTCAATGATTAGAAGAATGAATATGAATGGGAGAATGTTAATTTGACTGGTAAATCAAGCACACAGAGGGGTACAAATAGTGTTGAGACAAAACTAAGAATCACTGATAATATCAGAATTCCGAGACCATCTAAAGAGAATATAGCAAGCAACTAATGTAGAAGTAAGAGAAACAGCATTATGCAGTACTTTTCTTCTGCCATCATCTCTACGAACCAAGACTACAGGGCGTAGAGGAGGACTGTTTGAATTAGAATGATTTTCGGCTATAACTGCACGAGTACGCTTTCCATTACTACTTTGACTCTTTTCTGATGAACCATTAGGACTGTCACCATTGCTCAACCCACTTCCGGGTGAATTATCATCCGGATGTGAATTCATCAGGGCATGACTACTACGTGTTACAAAGGAAGTTGCTCCAACTGGAAGAGATGCAACTGATGACGCCACTTGATATTTACAGCACGGATCCCACTGCCAAAATAAAGCATATAATCCTGCGGCAGACGCACTGATAGCGCTCAATGTAGTTGTAGTGAATCGAATAACACTAGGAGTAATTGTGATAAGAGCACCATCTGTTCGGACGTTAGGAAACCATCGAATACCCAAGTCGAATGGAAAGTATATTTTGCAGAAGACGGAATTCCACATCAGACCTATTCCTGCTGTAGTTAGAGCAGCAAGTCCTAAAAGAAAAATGATGAGAAAAGTTACCTATTAACTGCTAGAGATCACTATTAGATTCATTTCCTTACTCATCCAGACTAAACTACTGAAAAAAACGTCTGCTCTTTGTAAATATATGGTAAATATAAGACTTAGGAATACCGAAAACTAGTCAAAGTCACCATATTTCATATCTAGGCATCAAGTAGAAAACAAGTGGAGCGTAAACAAAGGAGTGGAAATAAATATGTACCAAAGTCGTAAAAGCGAGTAACAAATGCTGCTTGTTATTCAACAGATGACTACCATTTCCAATATTTTTTGACATCGTAGGCAAGGTTTTGTAAGAACATGTGTACTAAGCTAAAAGTTCAATGTCATGTCAATTAGTAAAGAATTAATGACCCATGGATATCATTCACTGGCACCATTACGTAGAATGAAACATGTGGCGCTCTACTGGAAAATACCTTACATTCTCTACTGCTAGCTGCCGATGATTTCTTACTGTCTTAACACTAAGCTACCAGTTTTCTTCTCAAATACCTGCGTTTCAAGCGAAAACAGGCTTCAAGCTTTGAGGTTTCAGCAGAGCCGCTGTTGCTAGATCCACGCCCAACCTATCCTTTTCCTGGATCTACTACCAGTCAGGCAATATTTATGAGTACGTTGGCCAGGAGAAACCAGTGGGGCTGACAAGCGTTGTATCATTGAGCCACCAAAACTGTTGCTTAATAGTTAACGGGTTCCCCCATAACCTGGGTTTCATCCCCGAGTTCTAAGTGAGTACTGCTGAAGAGTGCCACACCATGACTAAGTAGCTAACCAGTACTCCTTGGTTCAGTGGGAGTGATTTTTTTGTTTTAAACAGTAGTCTTCTTTACTAATCGAATTCGGTACTATGCATGTACAATCTGAATGAGTTGTAAGCGTAAGTATTATTCCTCATGAGCAGCATTTGAGTGTACCTCACTACTCGTCTAAGCACTCACTTTTTCACTAATGGGTATGGGATTCCAGCCCAACCTATCCTACCTTGACCCTCAAACAATAAGAGTGACGTACAGTAATTTGCAGGCAGATGAGGATATTAAATGTCAAAATCAACTAAGTCCGCAAGCTAACAGTAATACCCAGTTATTTCAGTACTTGACTACATATTTCAGATGTTTTGTCATGGTATACTGGTTGAAAAATAGGATTACAAACAGTGTATGTCTTCGTTTCATTGAAAATAGAAACCGAATAGAGCCAACAAATAGAATTAGTAAAAGGATGGTAAGACGAAAAGACATCTCAGTAACTCTATTATTTATTTTCATTAGAATTAACTGAAAATTATATTAATTCCAGCTCTAAGCAAGAGGTTTTAGACGAATTTTAAAAAAGATAATCAGAAGATTAACCATGTCAAAAGTTGAAATTTCACTCATGCCTAGTTATAATAGTTCCACCAGAGGTCTGGGGTTAACAATCGTGTTAGGTAGCTATAACGCCTGATGAGGAATTAACCAAAATATATCAAAATCCTCTCAACTAAAAACTGCAAATAAAGTGTAATTATTGGAAGATAAAGAAAAGTATAAACTGAAGGAATAAACGGACGGAAACCACCAACTGTAGTCGAGAGGGTAGTGAATCATCACGAAAGTCAACAACCTAAGATCTGGCATTACTGAATACCGATCTAAGTTATTGCACCTCATATCCGAACAGCAATAAAAGTGAAAACTCATACTAGAAAACATCTTTGAAGTTTACAATTAGAAAAAAGAGAAATCAAGGAAGACAGAAGACTATACAGTCAATTAATCTTAGGAAACTTTTCCACTATATACAGAGTAATCTAATCGACAGTTTAATATAGGTTGAATACACAAAGAAATAGTGTTTATAAATAGACTCCATTATGGATAAGATTTTATTTTGATAAATCACACAGTGTTGTACATTAATATTAATATTGCTGTACAACAGTGTGATTTATCAAAATAAAATCTTATCCATAACGGAGTTATACTCTACCACAGTGCCCAAGTTTTACACTTTTATAAATAGACCATAGATGTTGATAATTTATTTTATGTTGTGATATTTTCCTAGATCTTCCTTAATCCTAAAAGTCAGCTAGTGACAGATACCAAATGATAAAGTAGACCTTCTTGTCTCAAACGAAATAACAAGGTATAGGATTTCAAATCCAATCTTGACTGGATAACAGGAAAAGTAATCCACTGCATATGCGTGACATGTTCGCATAGTACACCTTTAATAATCTAGTTATATGTAGATTTCCTAAACAACTACGTGAAATGCGGTGATAATTAAAGGTTCAAAAGAAGACAAATCCCGATAACAAAGATCTAGGTTGGATTGCATTGTAATCTATTGGGACAATCATCAGATATACACAGACATCATTAATTATGAAATAAATTATCGGAGGTGTGATTTCTCCTTCACGTTAAGAAAAGACATTTCTTATTACATTCCCGTTAATAAGCATATTTAGAAGATTTAAAAGTATGACATATTCCTATACGATGAACTAAAAGTCGATCTGGACGAAGAACATTCTTTTCAACAAATTACCTTCAGGTTCTAACTGTATTAAAATATTTCTTACATTTACAGTAATAGCCAGTTATACAGACAACACATTTTCACGTAAGATAACTTTTACGGTGTCACAATAAATCGCATTTGTACGACAAACGTGGTGAGTTGAATGAATATACAAAAGTTTGCTAGTTTGAAGAATGAACTGTACAAATTATAGGACATTGTGACGAAAACTATTTGAACAAATCAAAAGAGTAAGATATACCTTTGGAGAGAAGGAAAACTTTGAATTCAAGGTTGGACATGGAAGTAACGTCTAAACATGTTCTTTCTAAATAAGAAGTTCTGGTTAACTTAACCGACCTACTTGGGATAGCCTTAGTTGAATATACAAGATGGAGGTGAACTATGCGTCATATTGACTAGGAAATGCGATATACAACCCTAATGGTTGCGTTAAAGTGAATGAAATGTTCTGTGTCAATCGAGTATGATGGAATTGAAACTTTTATGGGTCTGATTACACCCTTCCTAAATCATGTTTGTAGATATTTTTGAATTCGTAGAAAAACCTACCGAATGATATAACTAGGATCACAGGAACAGCTAAAACCATCTATGCCTGATAAGGAACCAAAATTAAGTTAAACATCTTTCAGTTTTGGGATGACATTAGACGGCTACTGAAATATAAGAAAAGACTTCCAAATTAGGAAGTCCTCTTTATCGTCCAGGTTAAACGTTGGAATAGAATCTCCGCGGAGGTACTTCCCTTGAACTGCAGACGCACATATAACTGATATTTCTCTACCCTAGCCAATTCATGTTTGTCACTGTTATAAACTAAAAGGGACTTTCATACACTTTATCAGACATCTAATCTCGCTTAAAATAATCTGGATGACGTGAAGCTTTTTCGCTAAATAGTCTTCAGAGCAAACTGTCCTTACTGCAGATTCCATAGCTACTTCATTAGCCTGTCTGTACATTTCATTACTACACATGAACTGAACATTAATTCTACACTGAAGCAGTAGTTCCTTCAGATTACCAATACGATTGTCAATCGATCATGTTTATGAGTATAATCGACAGTCTCATCCAGAAAGACGTAGGTGAGTTGAGATGTGACATCAAGTGATGCCATATATTTTGATGTGGTTTTGTTCTCTGAGCTGGATGGTTAGTTTGCGAAGCTTTCATCACCTTACTGGGTGACATCTTCAGCGCATACTTCAATTTGAAGTGAGCTTTTAGATTTCTCCACGAGTTTATTAATCATCTCTCCTGGTGACCTTGGACGTGATTGGTTGTTTGTGTGTTTTCACACCTTCTAGGTTACTTGTATTGGAACCGGTTGTTTCTTTGACTTGAACTTTGACCCTTTGTGTGTGAAGTTTCTTTCTTATTGGTTGATAAATTTTGTCTATCTCGATGTGTCTATTGATTGATGATTCACTGGAATGCCAAGCTTCTAAAAATTCTCTAGCATTCTTGTTATTTCCTTTGTCTAATATTTGAACGTTGTCCCAGTCGAATTGATGTCCGTAGTTGTCTGTGTGTAGTGAAATGAGGGAGTGGATATCATGTCTTTTGACGGCTAGCTTATGTTCGTGGATACGAAGACGAAGGGGACGTCCACTTTGGCCGATGTAGTGTTTTTCGCAGTTGTTACAGTTTATTTTGTAGATGATGTTGGTTTTGTCTTCTTTCGCTGTTGAGTCTTTTGGTTGACATAGAATTGAGTGCAGCGACTTTGTTGGTTTGTGTACGACGTCAATTCCTAAAGGTTTGAAGAGTCTTGTAGTGATTTCTGAGATATCTTTTATATATGGTAAGGCAATTTTCTTTGTGCTTTCCTTGGTGGCTTTTGCTTTGGTAGGTTGGCTTGGGGGTATATGTCTCTTGATGAAATTCCGTGGATATCCATTCTTTTGGAAGACGTCCATGAGATACTTTTCTTCAATTTTTCTTAAGGTGGGAGTGCTGCAGTGAGTCCTTGCTCTCTTGAATAGTGTTTGTATGCAATTCCTTTTGTGTGTTATTGGGTTGTTGCTGTTGTAATTCAGTATTTGGTCTGTGTGAGTTGATTTCCTATAAACTTGAGTTTCTAATTCTCCTGTAGTTGTTCGCCTGACTAAGACGTCCAAAAATGGTATTTTGTTCTCGGATTCCTCTTCTCTTGTGAATTTGATGTCGTTGAAGACGTTGTTTATTAAGTTGTGAGTTTTATCTAATTCGTTTCTTTTGATGATTACAAATGTGTCGTCGACGTAGCGTATCCAAATCTTGGGTTTGATCTTTGGTAGAATTATATTTTCGAGTCTTTGCATCACTGCTTCTGCAATCAAACCTGATATTGGCGATCCCATGGGTGTTCCTTTGACTTGTTCATATATTTGGCCGTTGAATTGGAAGTATGTTGTTAGGCATAGATTTATGCATTCCATCCAGCTTGTGTGTTGCATTTTTGATTGTTGTGGCAGTTGTTCGTCGTTGCTAAGTAATTGCTCCATGGTTTCTTTTGCTAGGTTTTGTCCGATGGATGTATATAATGCTGTCACGTCGAATGATACCATTATTTCTTGTTCATCTATTTGGATGCCTCTGATTTTCTCTAGGAATTGGATAGCAGAGTTGATGGAGTGATCGCAAGATTCCGTTAGGTGTTTTAGTTTTCTGTATAATTCTTTGGATAAATTATATGTTGGAGTTCCTGGGAGTGATACAATTGGTCGTAATGCATTTCCCAATGAATGAAAAAACGACATTGGGAAATACAAAAACCTTTATTATAAAGAATATCATATACCCAATGCTCAAATTTTTTCAAGCTGTTAAAATTGAGCTTGGTTCGGACATATATAGTCTTGTTATTTTACCTATACTGATAGTAACAGTCTACTAAAACTGATTTAAATTGTTTGATTTTATTAACAGAAGAAACAAAGAAGTCACCCGTCTGTATTTTGTTTCATATCAGCATTCGACTCTGTCGATCGGGAAGTTCTCTGGAGATGCTTGGCTGTAAAGGGAATTCCGAGAAAATATATTGCACTGATTAAGGCACTCTACTCGTACTCATACAGCCAGGTGAGGGCTTACGGCGAGCTGTCATCTGAACTGATGACGACCAGTGGTGTCCGTCAAGGATGCCCATTATCTCCTTTTCTATTCAACTTCATCATAGATGTGTTAATGGACTTAACCCTAGGTGACTTCAGTGACTCAGGAATTGACTTGCTACCGGGGAATAATCTCGTTGACTTGGAATATGCAGAAGATATAGTCCTTCTAGGCGAAGACGCTGACGAAATGCAGAGTCTTCTAAACACCTTGAGCCGCAATCTACGAATGTTTGGCATGCGATTCGCTCCCGCCAAATGCAAGATGATGTTACAGGACTGGACTACATCGACGCCTAGTTTAAAAATAGGAAGTGAAGTGGTAGAGCACGTTGACCGCTTCACTTATTTGGGAAGTACCATCAGCCAATGCCAACGGGCTGATCTCTGACGAAATCTCAGCACGAATACAAGGGGCTCGTTTCGCATTTGTTAGTTTACGCCGACTCTGGCGTAGACGAGATGTTCGACTATCGACCAAAGGGCGGGTGTACTGCTCATCAGTCCGCTCCGTCCTCCTTTATGGTTGTGAGACCTGGCCACTGAGAGTGGAAGACATGAAAAGACTAGCTGTCTTTGATCATAGGTGCCTGCGTTCTATTTCCCGTGTAAAGTGGCATAATAAGGTGAGCAACATGGAGGTTAGGCGTAGAGTTCTAGGTAAACAGGGGAAATCAATCGACGAAGTCGTGAAGTTACAAAGACTGAGATGGTTAGGACATGTGTTACGTGTGCCAAGCCATCGCCTCCCTCGACGAGCAATGTTAGCGGATATAGGGTCAGGCTGGAAAAAAGCTAGCGGCGGTCAAACAAAAACTTGATACCAGTCAATGAAATCCACAACAGTTGGTCTAAGCCACGTAGAAAGGTGTAGACTTCCAGGCTGGGGTCCACGGGACGGTAAAAATCTATGGTTGGAAACAATTGGTGACATGGCTCAAAATCGTTCTCAGTGGCGCAGATGCATCCACTCCCTGTGACTTATGATCTCCAATGAAACTGTTTTGTTTTTCTTTATTACTCTTCCTTTGTCTCACACCTCTGCTCACTGATTCTATTAAGCTTTTCTTGTACTTTCTTCTGTTGCTTCGCGTGCTACACGGAGTGTGGCGACTTGAACATATGTCGCACATTTGTGCAAAGTTCTATGTCGAAAACAGACAGACAGACAGATTTAGTTCTTAAACTGTATATCTGTCTCCTTTTGATTTATGTCGATGATTCGCTGGAAATCTGCTTTGTGGTAATCGGCTTTCAAGTCATCACTTTTGTTACACAAATACTACTTATTCTGCTTCCCTCCCATAACTTTAATCCTACATAAAAATGTATAGGCTTCCCAACTGGCTATTATAATGATAGCGCATTTTAATACAGTCAAAACCTAAAAATAATTTATTGAAAAGAATGTTCTTTACTTAGCCCGGCTCTAGATTTATGTGGACTTCCTACTACGTATCTAGTGTTCCCACAATCATTTTTGGGTTAGATGGCACATATCTGTAGGACATTACAAATTCAATAGGAAATCTCAAGTAAAAATATGTTAGAGGATGCTCCAGTAAAAAATGAACATATTAAACCTTCACTGACAAAATGTTCTCGTAAACAAAATGCCAATTAATTACTTTGACTGCTTGGTTTAGCGGAAATGGATATTAATGATTGTCCAATAAAACGATTAATATATACAAGTAACGGCTAAGGAAATGAAAAAATATGTACCAGATAACTGATGGAGTGCATCAGTAATCAAACAGCAGCAACGACACCCGTAAGAGTAAACATAAAAGAGGTAACGAGTGAAAAATCTATCAGCATGATGAAAGCAAAAGACTAAAGTTATGTACTACCTGATATAACAGCTGTTTTGTGTAGCCAATTCCCCGTACGAATCCAACGCCATGTAACTTCACCCAGAGATTCTGGTTCGATAATAACCATACATACTTTCCGACTTAATACAAAGTCTAATTGTCGTTCAAAATCCTCCGGAGAGTGACTATGATTGTATATTGCACGGATGATGGCATATGTCTTCTTGCTGTTGACTATGGCCTTCATGGAAAGGTGCACAATTTATTTATTGAAGAAACAATAAATGCATGAGGTTGTACAGCAAATCAGAGTTTAAAAACTAAAGTCAAAACGTACAAAAAAGATTATATATTTCTAGCTTTAGCCAGTAGGTTCAGGGTTAGCATCGGACTAAATACTGAGCCACTGAGTAGTATAACTAGCTCTTAGAGTGTGATAGAGACAGATATACGAATAATCTCTTTCGGACAAGTCTGTCTCACCAATAAGGTTTGCCTACTGAACTTGTGCTCAGAATAGGTCAGAAATCAGAAGTACTTGTCTAGGCATGTTATGCACTGCTTTACTGCTACGGATGAAGGCGGAATTCTAAGATTAGTCACAGCGGTATACGTAATTAAAAAAAATTTGCGAATTAATTCATACGGCACTGCCGCACATCATATTGCAACGTTAATACTTATTTTGAAAATAAAAAGTGGTTTATATGTAAAGCTAACATGCAGAAATTCATCTTACTAGAATAATTTTCATTTAAAATAAGAGTAGGTGTAAGTCATCGACTTAAGTCAACAAAACTCGAATCGAATTCCAATTCACTAACTTCAGCCTAAGTGATCTGATGGTATTACTAACCCTCCAAAATAACTGTGGATCATATCCACATACGTGAAAAATTCAATCTTGGCAACTAGCTGTTAAAACTAGTGTATAGGAGAAGTGAATCCCAGTCAATTCATCTTGTTTAAAGCTTACATCTAAGTGATATTGTCAACTGCGTGAAAATAAAACTGGTCTTCAACGCCGTTACTGAAATATATTTTGTATTCTTGAGAAGCAATTTTGTTGTAGCGGTACTTATGGCTTTTAGCCTCTAATTTAACTGAAGTTTCTGTTTAAAAGATTAACGGCACTGTCGGTTTCTCCGACCACACAACTGACTGGAAGCTTACAAACTCTCTAAAGATGACTTTTATCTTGTCATAAATCAGAAAACACCCACTTTTTCATCTCGTATCTGTTACAAAGGGTAGATACATGGTTTCAATTTAACTAAACGTCACTCTTGTATGTCTTGAATTCTGCGTTATTCGTAGTGAGTCAATGTAAAATAATTGCCGAGACAAGGCCATGAGATAGGTCAGTATTGTCACCTAATTCGGTAACTTTCAAACACTTTCTTCGAATTACAAGGGACTACTCCTTAGGCTTTTAACCCACAATAAATAAACCAAAATATAAATGCAAACCACTTATTAAGTCAGTCGCTACAGCGTAAGATCGGGGAATTCACTTGAGAAGAGCACCAGTACATGTTGCCACATTTCGAAATGGTACACAGAAAAAGAGACTTCGAGAGAAATATTTGCATGCGATGGAGTGAATGAAGCTTACCAAGGCGTGGAAGAGCACAAATGAAGACATGTAAATTCTCACAATACCTCTGTCGATCGCATTATCTTCCCCTCTGTTACTTTTGATGTCCTACTTTGAAGAAGGGTAGTTGAGATGGTGCATTTCAACAAGACTCTTCGACACTGAATCGCCATAAAGGAAGCGTAGCTTATTAACAGGACGAAGTATTAGTCGACACCAAGATGCCGCACCAACGTAACTATAATCCTCAATAATACAACAATAGCTAATCCAGATGTATAAAACTATGTTTGCAAGACAAGAGTTCGAATTCAGCATACCTGCTGAATTTACGAGGTGCGACGAATTGAAATGTCGCACCCAGCTAGCATATTTTTCGGTCGCATTGCAGACTTTTGGGGGCAAAAACTTCGGGTAGATACACTTACGTGGAACAGTGTCCCAAATTCTGCCCCCAAAAAGTCTGCAATGCGCCCTAAGTCTGTCCCTAAAAGTGTGCAATCTGCCTAAGTCTGCCCAAAAGTCTGCAATCCGCCCGGAAAAAATGCTAGCTGGGCACTCTGAATTCCAAAGCTGGACTGTTATTATGTATCACGATACAGTCGCGAACCTTTAGTGCAACTCAAAACTAATGTTAATAACAACAGTGTAAACTGATATATACAATCAAAACCATTTAGAAACCAAATCATTTTGGGCGTCACCATATAGTTATAAAACCTTACGTAGAATTCACTCATCCTGACCGGTCATTGTGATCTAATTCAATAAAGTAAACTATACAAGGTAAAATTCCCCAATCAGAACGCAAGAATTGCATGCTGACCATTATAATCACAAAGCAACCCATCTTCAGACTTACCATGAATAAATGTAAGCATTAGCTACGAAAGAGCCGCCTAATTCAGACTTCGGATTTCAGATTCAGATTTATTTATCAGTAGAAGGCCCATGTTAATCCTTTTCTGGTTGTCCAAACCCTTCTTGAACTAATCAGTTGAGGTTGCAGACACCAATTCTCAGGGAGTCATTTCCTAGAATTTATGACTCGGTGTACGAACCAGTACTCAACAGCAACTGGCTGAAATTATCCGTAACTTATCAAGGTCATTGGTGGAGTGAGACGCTCGAAGGTCATTTTCGTCCATGTTAGTCGGCCATGTGGGATTGCAGTTCCATAGCTGTTCGTGTACGCGTTTGTTGTTCTGTTTATCCTGCCGTTATACACGACTTATCTTGTTGCGTATTGTTCACAAATGCTGCGTTTCACCTCATTTTTCGTTTCCGTTGCTGTTAAAATGAATTATTTTTTGGTTTCGAAAGTTTTCACTACCAGGTCAGTGCATTCATTTCGGTGTAATTGTTTCATACCTTGTATTTATGCGGCTTTCAGCGTTTTAGTTGGTTTTCAGCTGTTAATGAATTGGCAATGTGTAGAAGCTTTGGAAATCATGCACATGAAGATGTTTGGCTGGTAGAAGCAGTTGTTTTCAGTCCATTTGTTGGTTGCAGGTTTTGTTGCTGGCTCATATGATTATTTAACATGTAGAAATCTGGAAAACTAATGTCTTTCACGTTTATGTCTTCAGCATGCAACAATTTACCAGTAAATCTGGTGAGAAGGGCACGATCAAAGTTGATATTAGCAAGGTTTTCAAAGAACATAATCCTAGAGAATTTAGAACCTGGGTTGAAGTTGAAAAAGCTTTGAAGCCTTTTGAGAATGTGAATATACCATCAGTGTGTCTGCTACCACTTTAAAAAATGTATTGTGAGAGAATCTAAGTCAAATAAGGTTGAGCCGCATGAAAAGTATGAATCTGTTGTGCTTGTGTGCATTTTGGGGAACTAAAAGAAACTGGAATTCTTAAGGGTAAGTGTTACTTATGCTTATTATTGCTTGATGTACTAGATCCAAATACATGAACTAGGACTGCCCGTAATAGAGCCAGTGTTAACATCCATTCGTTGGGTTGCAAAACGGTTTTCAAAGCGGATAAAACACGACGATCTGGTGAGTGTACGATCTATCCCAGTTAAAGGTAAGACATTAATTGGGAAGAATGACATTTCGGGTTGTAATCTACGATCGGTGATTTCCTCGAAGTTGTGATTTTTCCGTGGCTATAAATACTGATGTCCATGGTCTTTAAAAAAAACTAAATAAATTTTCCTTGAACCAGTAGTCTTCTTTTCTGTGGCGAAATATCCGTTGATACGATTATACGATTAGGTAGCAAAGTAGGATGTTCTGTGACTGAGAATCGTGGTTGTTGTGTTTGTCTAATTTCCCGCATCTGACTGTTGTAACCGCATGGATATAGCGTTTTCCTCATGGTACATTATGATATCTAGAAATCATAAGCAAGCTGCCATCGGTAAATTTATTTTTACTTTTTATATCACTGCAAATAGTGAGTCGTTTGAGGTGATAGGGTGGATACCTCTGAATGTTTTTGTGGAGACTAGGGTATATTTAATTTTTTGGAGTAGGTGACGATCTTTTCACCACGAAAGTTCTCAGAATTTCCGCTTTTACTTCGTTATTCAGAGATAACGTTAAGTTGCACACTAAGGTAGTAGCTATAGGAGATTACCTTCAGCGAAAGCCACTTTAAGGTAACTACGTAGCTTTAGGTAATGCGTCATAGAAGTAAGCATTGTAGGTTAGTTGTGTCTGAATGTATTAAACGTTGTATAACTGATCAAACCACAGTTCTTACGTACGAGTTACTTTTATAAATAATGAATGTACCGTACAAGCGTTTACCTTGGTTTGCATACCTAGCTCATAAACATTATGCCTGCATGTGGCATACATATAGGGCCAATACGCTGTGTTGAATTAGTCCGAGATACTTAAAGTTAGACTTGATTTCCATATCACTATTATCAATTTTGCAACGGTCATAGGAATTAACACCTTCAACTAACTTTCGTTTACATCGGAAACTGAAAATAACAGTCTGACATTTCGAAGGATTCAATTTAAGAGCATTTTCTGACTCCTAATAGAGAGCTGTTCATCTTAGTACAGTGTAGCTGGCAGTTAACAGACATTGAAATAGTTAGATCGTCGGCGTGCTTTCTCCCTGATGAATAACAATGAAGCCGTCTAACAATCCAACACTCAGTTTGGGTTTCAGCAAGCTTATCTAACAGAATATCTCTAGGTACTGAGTCGAAAGCAGATGTGTAATCTAGGAAGATGCAGCGAATTTAGCCCCATTGTCTATACTGGAGGAAATGTTGTGAAGCAACACTGCAGCTGCATCTAAAGTACGTCTACTGTGTTTATAGGAGAACTGTTTGGGATCGTTAAAGGCTCTAAATGAAGGTTGGAGATTAAGTAAGAGTAACTTTTCCTTAGTTCGTATGTACGTTATTTGATTCGAAACAAAGGAAGCAGGTCTTATTAACACTTGTAACACTAGAAAGTTTGGCATTTTTGAGAGAATTTATGAAAGACTTGTTTAGCGTACACACACCAAATGAATAGGGAATACTGGAGGTAATTAGATGCATGAAGGCGTAAGTTATTAAATATCCATAAAGTAGATATGCAAATACCGCGGTTGTTGATCATAGAAATGATGGATATTAGATAACATCGCATGATTCAACGGCATATAAGAAATAAATTAATATTGTTTCTTAGCTCATTGTCAAGTGAATAGTCTATCTGATGATGTCACTGAATATTAACAGATTAGTGAAGTAGCTATCAAGCCTAAGTTACTACATTTAATTGTACTACATACTTGGCGTTTAACATTATATAGACTTGCAACTGGCTAGATAAGGTGACTTTAGAGTATCGAACAGTACAGAATTATTATTCAACTTGCTAAATCCCACTTAGCTTTTACAATGTGCTACTGTGTAGAAACAGACACGAAATCCTATTAACGACTAAAGTAAGTCTCATAATACTATAGTAAATAACCATCTCACTAACTAAGCTTAGCGTTTATTATTCCTAATTCACTTATTACAAAAGCACGTAGTATAGCAACCAATTGAAAAAGTCCAGAGGAATTACAAATCAAGAGTATATTAAACATTTGGTTAATTTACAAAAGAAAATCCTGATGAAGGGTATTAACGTTAGTTTGACCGAATGACGTTTCCGCTGATTTCATATTCGACAACCTCCGTATACCTGAAAAAATAAAGTACATGTAAGATTTAGCACAACATGAAGTTACAAGAGATAATTCTACATATTAGCATATACCATGAATACAATGATTCTGTCAATACTAAGTAATATCTCATGCGGATAAATGTATTTGTAGTCTACAGCTGATTTTTATGTTGACGCCGTATACATAAATAGGCATCATATGTGTCAGCCACGTCTCGTAAATCGTTAATGCCCAGCTCTTTCTATGCTCGGGCTCACGCTGTTCCTTGAAGTTTCTCAGAAACGCTTAGTAATAACGGACGAAAAAACCAAAACACCAATTGTTGACTCGAGGATTCTTTATTGTTACACCAACATATAAAAAATGTTTCCGCTAAGGTCTGTGAACAAATATAACAATAATAAATCACAATATTACTTCTGACGGTTTACTGCTGACTTCTTTCTGAACAGCGACCGATGAGACGATGACTGTCGTATTGATGCCTCCGCGAAAATTGGGGAAGTTGGTTTTGAGCAAACAACCATGAATTGATCGTTCAATCTTCAACTACATTGACAATATGTTTTCCTGTATTTGAGGATTATACGCAAATTTCAAGACAATCTCCGAAACGTCCATACTATTGAGGCGTCATTCTCTCATCAAGCTTACTCGCAGATCAACTTCACACTAAACACTTTTACATGAAATGAAGTATTGCAAATGTATAACTTAGAAATTAATCCACAATCTCAGTGATGTCTAGTCCACAAGGTTTTGTGAATCCTACAGAAATCACATTTTCACATTTAGGAGACTATAGGCATCAAATGTAAGCTGAACATGCCTCAACTCCAAACAGCTATGCACAGTGTTAACGACATAGAGAAACACTTAAACTATTGTAAAATACACAGACCTGTTGTGTTGATGAGGATAATAATGTCATATAATGCAAACTAGAAAATTCAATCGTCACAGCGCATCTGTACTGCTTTGTCTAAATGGAAATCTCAGGAGAAATTCATCTCCACTATTGGTGATCAAAAATATTGCAGCATTAAGTATACAGTCAGTGGAAATTGTAAAACAGAAAATAGATTCATAATAATGATAATAAAGCTGAATAGATTCAGCTTTCATAATCACCGCGACTCATGCGTATAATCATACCGTGTAATGATTTAGTGCATTAATTGGAACAACAAGGAAACTTAAACGAGTAATTGCCTTCTCCACTGCACTGTACTTGCAATAATCGTGACAACCACCTTCGTTTGTTATCCTATCAGTCAGCTAAGTAGACAATGGCACAATATTATTAAAGTTGAGATATTTTTGTACATTTAATTCACATAACCCATAGCACACTGCACCAATCAGTGCCAATATACATGAAACCCACTTAGAGATAACCTTTCAACTTACCATAATTCCTGTCCAACCACAGATAGAGTGAAAAGCACATCTAAATGATAACTTAGGTTCCCACAAACGATTCTGATAGCATTTGCAGGTGATTTTCAAGTACTGAGAGAATTATTTTGTCAAAAAAGACTGTTCTTCACACGAAAATAGGCTGTATTGATATCCTGTGACATGATCATGTCATCATGATGACATGTTATAATTCTTTTTTGACGTGAAAACTAAATGCAATTTAAGACAACGAATGCATCATGTAGAAGCTTAAAGCAGCGTGTAAAAGCACCTTAATATAAAAGAAATGAGACAT